TCATTCATTCATTCATTCATTCATTCATTCATTCATTCATTCATTCATTCATTCATTCATTCATTCATCCATCCATCCATTCACAGGTTAGTGTTAGCATTTGTTTTAAACTAAGCTTTAAGCTAAACAGAGGCAGCACAAGCATGCACAGTAGATCTACACATGGCTCCTGCTCCTTCCTGTTTGTTGACCAATAGGAGAGGAGCTGACCCAAGAAGGACCGCCCACTATATTTGCATAATGCAGGCAGAAATGCATAAGTTAGAGTAAAAACAGGAAACAGAAAAATGTAAAAACACATGAAAATAAAAAGACTTGTGGGGAAAAAAACAATTAAAAAATAAATATAAATATTTAACAGACACAAATGCACGAATGAAAGTAAAAGGAAAAACAAAAAAATCTATACCTTTTAAAAACAGTTAATGTAAATGATGCGCTAAAACATATCATTTATTGGAACTAAGCTGGAAAAATAAATATGAAGGTCAATTAAATTATAATTGTTGCATTTTAAGTGTATCTATTTATTTTTTTGGGCCGTTTATATGTTTTTGCTTTTATTTCTAATTATGTCAGTTTTGGTCCTCCATATTTATGCATGTATGATGCAAACCCCCATTTTTTGACCCTAAAAATGCTTAAAAAGTTGAATATTCAGAGGTAAAATCTTTAAAAACCATGAAAGTAATTCTGTAAAATTGATAAAAGAATAATGTCAGTTGAGTCGTGTAAGGTCCAACTTTCTGTGACTTGATTAAAATTTAAATTAAGTTTATACTGTGGCGTATATCTGTACACATTTTGTTTTTCATCACACTTTTGCAAATACAATCTACACCGAACATAATATTACTTTCTAAAAGTCATAATAGCGCTTTCCCTGTTTAAACTGCATGTTTTGGTGTCTCATTTGCAAGTTTTATTTCAAAGCCAGATGACAAGATACACAACCAAAGATTTGAACAAGATAGTACTGAAGGTGTTTTACTGCTTTTGCATCAATACCCTTTAATTTACTATCTGATTGTAAACACATTTAATGTAGAATAGTTTGTCACTGACTTGTTTCTGGGTCATCTGCAGTAGAATCTTTTCAATGTGTTCCAAACTTCAGGTAAGAAATGGTTTTAAGAACTTGTGTATGTACTGAAAGAGCGCAGTCATCAGTCAGTACTTCAGTAAGATGTAAAGTGTATTTACCTTGTCGTTCCGCTCACACAGAAACTTCAGTCTCTGGGCTCGTTTGTGCATGAAGACTCCATCCAGATGGCCCGTCTCTACGGAGCGGATCTCTATGGCCTTCTCCCCCCAGCCCATAATCTGGTTTGAATGGATGTAGGCTGGATGAAAAAATATGCAGGATTTTAGAAAAATGTTGAAGCTTAATAATTATATATTTGTGACCCATCACATCGAAATGAGGATTAAGTCTAAAACTAGTATATGGAGAAATAGGCAAATATAGTGTTTTGCCTAAAATGTTAACAAACATTGCATTTTGTCAAAATATAATGAATAAATACCTTATTAATGTATCATTTGAATGAAATATAAGCTAAAAAAATTAAAGCACTTTTTTGAGCAGTAGTAACAAAAACAAAGAAATGTTTTTGTGCAAAATCGCCTTAAAATTTTGATGTTTTCCCTGCGAGCTAGCAAAGCTTTGTTTCTTTCCATCTGGGACA